CTTCATATCTTCTCTATTATTTATTTCTTAAGGATTTTGCCTCATTTGCTATTATCTCTGGTCTCACTATTGATTTTCGTCTTTTAATTTTTCAATTTTTTTGCTTTTCGTTATCTTTTTAGAATTTTTATTTTGGTTATACTGTTAGCCAAAATTGTTACGTACCGTGCTCATAACTCAAAATGATACGTGAATTGTTTAAAGAAATGCCTTAAATCAAAAGATTTTGAGAGCGAAAGGTGATTAAGTCTTTGAAACTCTGAAGGAATTGGATGTCGAATGTAGGTTATCTTTGAGCCCACAATACTTCAATCGCCGCCAAAAATGGCGGGGTACATCGAAGAATTCTGATCGTTGATGGAGAAATTGTTAGCGAAAATGAACTGGGAAAATTGTGTTTGTATTAGCGACTTTATCTCTAGTTCGTATTTGAATAACGCTATTAATCGTAAATCTCGCTATAAAACATACTTTTGGTGTTTAATTTCGTTAACAAATCGCAAGAATGTGTTTTATAAGTCGCGTTTGTGAAGCGTTTTATAAATCGTATTTGAAGAAAGCGTTTTGTTAAAGCATATAATGAGTGCATTTTATAAGTGGAATTTTTAGGAATGCGTTTTACAATTACCATTTCACGAATGCATTTAATCGCATTTATCAAAAAGGTTCAACAATATTTCATGTTACATTATAATAGCACTAAAAAAGTTTAACAATATTACATGTTATTGTAGCATAGCTACTCCTGCATATTCTCTCCCTCATATGTAAATTATCTATATTATCATATTTTGTATTCTTTTTATTTCTTTAAAATTATATTATATATATTTAATTTATGTATTATACTTACCTATTAAAATTACATATTATTAATTAAGCATATAGCTTAGTGATATTCTATAATGAAATAGATAAACAGAAACAAAAGTTAATTTTATTTATAACAATATGGAAAGATACTAAACAAATCAGTAGGATGAGATACTTGGTGTTCGAATTTTTTGAAGTACAAAACCCTTTATAAATCTAAAATCAACTTGTTTTCCTATCGAAGGGGAGAAGAATTATTTGGAGAAGATTGAAAATTGTTCCAAAATCCAACACCAATCAAAGTTGAAGAACTGTTTGTGAACCTATTTTTCATTATTCAAACAGATTTCGCCTTTAATTTCAAAACTTATCCAAAAAATATTGTCAAAATATTTTGACAAACTAGATGGCTGGTGCCCGTGCTGTGCACGGGCCTATGCCCGACATCGTTTGTGCTCATTGTACAACTAAAAGATTACCAAAAAAAGATTTAAGATAGTACTTGTTTCTATCATTCAACAGATTACAGAAACTAAATAGTTTGAAGTCGGATTACAAATAAAAATCTCCAAAGCAGATTACAAAAACTAAATAGATTCAAAGGTTGATGCAAGTCGAACTAGGTAATACTCAATCTAGAGAATGCTTTCCACTGCTTCTCTGAAACAAAGTTAATTAAGTCAATTAGCTATGCGGTGCAATTTGAAGAATGTATTTATTATAAAAATTTTGGGCATCATTCAGTAACTTGGAGGATAACTATTACATATTAATGTCAAAGGTAAAAACAAACAATAAGCATATTGACTACAAATAGAGAAATATTAAAGCGAAAAATCAAACAAGAGAGTATCGCATTTAGCATGGAAAGACTAAAACAAAGCAGAACTTTCTTGATCATATTTATCTAAAAGCAACCTTCAAAATCCAGTGGGACAAAAAATTAGGAAACAACATACTGATGTTTACGCATAACATTAATAATTAAAGAATTGGACATAAGAGAGATTAAGTGTAAGACTTCAAATTTGGAAGGCTCTATGGTACTTGCCAACTCGAGTCAACAGATTTTTTTAAAATCTGGTTGCCAATCAATATTTTTAAGAAGAAAATATTGGAGATGCTGAACAATACATTTTTAGTGCTTCAATTGTACCTCTTACTCCAACGAGAATACCATAGGATCCTAGATACTGCATCATCAAGAGTAGAGCAGAATATAGAGAATCACGCATTGTCATCTGCCAAAGATGTTTAAAGCATGAGCTACTGACCAAACTAAATATTTAATGATTTTTCAATTTTCAAATTAAAGAAACCACTTCTTTATCTGTAGAGAAAGTTCTGTATATATTAAGGGCAAATTGGTATCCCAAATGTGTGAGTGATATTACTCACACATTATCACGGAGGAATGATCCCTAATCTGCTTATTGATTTTATATTAGATGAGGGGCCGTACTATAATTGTTCGTACTCCAGTTTATGAGCCGACAAAGGTCTGTCAGAATGAATATTGGACTCAAAACCCTAATTTCATATCAGTTGTCTATTTAAGTAAGATAAAGGTAAATAGTTTCTCTTATTTAAGAGAAGCCAAGAGAGAACGATACACAAGTGAAGAGTCAAGCAGAAACATAACATTATTTGGCTAGCCTCATAAAGAAAAGTCTATATCAACTTCATGTCCCCCGTGGAAAGAAAAAGAAGCCTGAAGTGGGAAATTTATGAAACAAAAAAAAAATTCAGCAAATAAGAAAGAGTCCTTCTCAACCAAAAATAAATAAAATTGCAATAAGAAAAATCCTTTTTTAGCATTTAGATTGTAATAGTGTCATCAGTGACATAGAGCCAAGGAAAAGTTTATTAGAACATACAAAATTTTAGCTGGATAAATCAAAAGCTAACAGAGACATAATAACATAAGTGTATATATCTCGACACATAGACTTCAAAGACACACTACATGTGGTTTACTGTGTATATACAAAATCTCGTTACCTCGATCTACCCATAACAGAGCGTATAGCGATAAGATCTTTATCTACAGAGGCAGACAAGCTTAAGCCATTCTTCAGCAAGCTACAGAAGGAGAAAGGTGAGAAAATACATCTTAATAGGTCAATATAAGATATAAGCTTAACAACTTTGCTTTTTCAACTTCAGTTTTAGAATCAGGAAGAAAGGTAGTCACTTCAGTCGCTATAATTCTGTAACATCTAAAATAAAACAACAGCCTACTTGGTTCATAAATCTTCACCATAATGTTGTTCGGAAGCTTTCTCCTATCAGGGGATATATGTCCTATCACAAGTATTAAATTGCAAGTAATTCAATAAGCCTTCCTCAAACCTATTGAAAGGAGCACTACTCAAAGTCCGCTCTACATCAATATTATCATTAAACAGTACAGAGTTTAGGTCATTTGAGAAATATAAGGAACCCAAGAGTGTCAAAACGCATTAGATGACTCGAACTTCTATCAACATACTTAGTTGTGCAAACTATTGATTTAGCCTACAAAATATGATAATCGCGTCTAATTCTAGTGCTAGTAAATTCAGAGATTATTTTTTGACAGTAAAAAGGGGGAAAATGTTACATGTAAGAAATGTTTACGCAGAGAATTCGTAGGAAATATCCAACATGACAAACTACTGGATAAGTTTTGTTGAAATCGCATGCTGATAAATGTTCATTTCTAGACCAAATGTAATCATTAATAAAAGAGAACATTCTTCCAATAATCCATCCACCAAATTAAGTTTTTCTAAAGTTGTTAATGCATATTGTTTGGACCTGGAATAGAAACAAGATACAAATGTTACAATAATAATCCATTACTATTCCAACAATGCAATATTTGTTACACCTTTGATTCATCATGATCAAGCTACATAACCAAAAATTACAACACTGACGATTAGTGTTGTTTAAATAAAATAAATTGCCTGAAAAAATCAAGGTAACTCTATAGTACCAAGAGTCAAGCTCCAAATCCACCAATGTAATTGAAAATTGTAACACACTGAGTTTGAACAATTCATACAGAAATGAAACATCATCGAAAAAAATAAATTGACTTACCAATAAGGTGCAAACAATAAGTTCTCAAATTTGGGTAGAGAATACAACGACCTTCGTGATATAATCTAAGATTTTACTTTTGTAACTTTGTTCCTATCTTGATTAAGTGACACTGGATACTGCCAATACAAGATAATTCATCATCTCACAACCCAAAGATTGTAGCAGTGGCGAAGCCACATGCGCCACATGCTTGTAAGGGTTCGTCGAAAAATTGTACTGTGTATGTAGGTAAAATATTACGTTTTAGAGGTATATAACACATATTGAACACCCTTTGTCGTAAATTTTTTTCACTTTTTTTAAATTTGAACACCCTTAAAGAAATTCTTAGTTTCGCCACTGGATTGTAGTAAATTCCTTTTCCAGAATGGACGGACAAATGCTAGATGAAATAAGGAGGGTAAATGTCCTTACCATCCATGAATTGCCACTGTTAGAGCAAATACACCAAGCCCGTGAATGCGTTTTCCTCAACAGATGGAAGTAGAAGGATCCGTAAGAACTTGCAAATTAATTCTGTTAAGAACTCTAATTATTTTGTACCAATTAGTTGGTTAGTTAGTTATGACAGCTGTACACAACTGTACCAATCAACTTGGTAGTTAGTGGTTAGTCGACTTGGTTTAGTCTTAGCTTAGGTTGCACAATTGCATTGTATATAGTGGAGGTTCCACTCACTTTTCTTTTCAATGAATTCATTTGCAATATTCTGGAATCTTCTCCCATCGTCTTTTCTCTCTCTTTCTCTCTGAGTTCTCATGACATGAAGGTCACAGCTTCATCACCATTGAAGCTCAGTTTCGAGCAGCAGTAGAGCTTCAGTCACTGTTCCATTGGCTAATTCTGATATGGTATCAGAGCAACGAGCATCGATTTTGGATTCGATTCACAAAATTTGCCAGTTCTCTCTCTGCTGATGACCTTTCGAACTAGATCGCACACATGCAACTTCATTTCTCCATGGATTTCGAGTTGTAGTCTAAGGACTAGGTTTTGTTCTTACTTCTAATCCGTAATTGTTTGAGAGTTATTGTTAAATTCCTAATCACCTTACATTCTAGTTATCAAGTCCCTTATAAATTCTGTAAATCACAAATATGACGACGGGTGAGAACGATAATCAACCAACACCAACTGTGAATGAATCTCTGAATCAGTCAGGTGTTGACACCAGTAGCCCTCTGTATATGCATCCATCCGATAATCCTGGGACAGCTTTAGTTCCCGCTCCATTTGATGGTTTTGGTTATCGTTCATGGAGAAGAGGTGTGATGCGAGCATTATCTGTGAAGAATAAATTGGGATTTATCAACGGAGAGTGCAATAGACCAGATCTAGATTCATTAAAATTTCTCCTGTGGGAAAGGTGTGATGATATGGTCACATCATGGAACCTAAACTCTTTGACCAAAGAAATTGCAGATAGTGTTGAATATGTAGCTGATGCATTCGAATTGTGGAGAGTGCTTGAGGATCGGTATGACCAGACAAATGGGACAAAGCTGTACCAAATTCAGAAGGAGATCAATGATCTATCTCAAGGATCCCTCGATATCACTAGTTATTACACAAAAATGAAAAAGTTATGGGAGGAACTCAATACTTTGATTGCTAAATCTCACTGCACCTGCAATTGTTCATGTGAAGCTAAGGAGAGTATGCACAAGGCTGAACAGGATAGGAGACTCATACAATTCCTTATGGAATTAAATGAAACATATACTGTTGTTCGAGGCAGCATATTGATGATGAATCCTCTTCCTTCAATTGCTCAAGCATTTTCTCTGCTGATTCAGGAGGAAAGGCAGAGGGAAATTAAACCTAGTGGCCATTTAGCACTGGAGTCGTCAGCCTTGAATGCCAACACAATCAGATCTGGGACATTCAGAACAAATTACTCTCCCAACAACAATCACAACAACAGAAATAGACCTTTCTGTGACTATTGTAAGAGGCCAGGGCACACCAAAGAAAAATGTTACAAACTTCATGGATACCCAGAGAACTTTGGCCACAATCAGAATCCAAACACAGGTCAAAGCAGTTTCAATCAGAATACTAGGCAAAATCCCAACTACAACTACAACTCAAACAACAATAATAGTAACAGATTCAATAAAGGCAACAGAACACTGGCCAATGCACATGTAGCAACCACTGATACTCAACCTACAGAGAATGAAAAGTATGCCAGTCATGACAATACTCAGAATGTGAGTCTTACCCAAGAGGAGTATAGCCAGTTGGTGAATCTACTACAACAGAGGAGTAGGATACCATGGAGTTAGAGTCAATGCTACTTCAGGAGCAGCAAACTTTGCAGGTATGATAGCTTGCACTTCCTCAATTGACTTTGGTAAACTTTCATGTGAATGTTTCAAGAACAAGGCTGACTCATGGATTATAGATTCAGGGGCATCAATAACATGACCTTCAACAGATCCTTATTAACCAACATAACAAACTTACCTTATCCCCTATTAGTCATACTTCCAAATGGCTACAAAGTAAAGGTGACAGAAATAGGTAGTGTAATTCTCACTTCTAAGATCACTCTGGATAAAGTGATGTATGTTCCCACTTTCATATACAATCTAATCTCTGTTCACTCTTTAGCGTCTCATCTCAGCTGCCTTGTTGCCTTTTTCAAACTTTGTTGTGTATTGCAGGCCCCTTCAATGAAGAGGCCTCTGGTGATTGGTAAAGTGAGGGATGGGCTGTACATCCTATGCCCAAGCTGTTTGAAGAAAAACAATGCAAGCCTTGCAGAAAACGACAATTCTGAACTACCTATCATTTCTACTTGTTGCACTTGTAACACACACTGTCCCTCTCATTCTACTGTAGATATACCACTTCATACAAATAAGTGTGTACCCTTTCCAATTGTAAATAGTTCATGTGCAAGTGCTAATGAACAAACTCCTTTTGAAAGTCTATCTTCTGAATTACCTAGTTTATTCTCTCATTCTTGGGCTGAAAATAATGTGAATGTGTTGTGGCGTAATAGTCTTGGACATGTCCCCTTTGTGAAAATGAGAAGGATTACCTCCATTCCTGCTAACTTCTCCCCCAAACAACCCTTCAGTTGCACCATTTGTCCAATGGCTAGACAGGAAAGACTACCATTTCCTCAGAAAACCAGTACAACTAACAAAATCTTTGAACTTTTACATGTTGATCTGTGGGGTCCATATCATGTTCCTACACATGATAAACACAAATATTTTATCACCATAGTGGATGATTATAGCAGGTCTACTTGGACTCATCTCTTATCCAGCAAAAGTAATGCCATTGATATTCTTAAAAACTTCATGAATTTGGTGGAAAACTAGTTTGGTGTTACCATTAAGTCCATAAGGTCAGACAATGGGCTGGAGTTTACCAGTAGAGAAGCAACCATGTTATTCCAATCTAAAGGGATCATTCATCAAAGAACTTGTCCCTACACACCACAACAGAATGGTGTGGTGGAGAGAAAGCACAAATACCTCCTTGAAACAGGTAGAGCACTTCTTTTTCAATCCAAGCTACCCCTAAGATATTGGGGTGAATGTATCCTTTGTGCCACATATATAATAAACAGATTGCCATCCAATTCTGTCAGCAATGAAACACCATATGAATTAGTATATAGAAAGAGACCAAAGTACTCCCATCCCAAGAGCTTTGGCTGCCTATGTTATCCCACTGTACCAATGCCACATAGGGACAAGTTCAATCCCAGAACAACACCTCATGTCTTTGTTGGATATCCTTTCAACACAAAGGGGTACAAAGTTCTAAATCTAGCCACTAGAAAAATTCATATTTCCAGAGATGTGGTGTTTAATGAGTCCATCTTTCCTTTTAGTGTTAGCATGAACAAGTCTTCTAAGTCACCTGTCTTTTATCCAATTCCTTTCATTGACTCTCTCAGTGAACAACCTCCTGAGAATACAGATATTACACAAACCCCTGAAGTCTTGAGTGATCAAAGGAATGTAGATAGCACACCTGTTTCTATGTCACATGTACATGTAGACAGTCCTTTACCTTCTGGAACATTTAGCCATTCACCACATAATGCATCATCACAACACAACACTGAACAAACCAATGTAGAACAAATTCATCCAACAAGACAATCACATAGAGCTCACAAACTCCCCACATACTTACAGGACTATGTCCATTCCCTACCTCGGCTTAAAACTAATTCTACTTCCCTGAATGCTTTGTTTTCTGTGAATCATCACATCGCCTCTGATCTACTAACTCCTGATGGTCAGACTCTTGTGAGAAATGTTTGTCATGACAGGGAACCATCATCATATGAGGAGGCAGCTATTGATCCTGCATGGCAAGCTGCTATGACACAGGAATTTGATGCATTACACTCCAATCACACTTGGGATTTGGTAATGCTGCCACCTGGGAAACAAGCAATTGGCTGTAAATGGGTATACAAGGTGAAACACAAAGCAGATGGCAGCATTGAGAGGTTCAAAGCCAGATTGGTTGTTAAAGGTTACACTCAACAGGTAGGGATAGACTATACAGAAACTTTCTCACCAGTTGTGAAAATGACAACAGTCAGGGCTCTAATAGCTATAGCAGTCAAGAAGGGCTGGTCCATCTCACAGCTGGATGTGAATAATGCCTTTTTGCATGGGGATCTCAATGAAGAGGTGTATATGCAGGTACCACCTGGGCTAGTAATAGAGAAGCCAGGTCTAGTCTGCAAACTAAACAAATCTCTCTATGGTCTGAAACAAGCAAGTAGACAATGGTATGCAAAACTAACTGAGGCACTATGCTCAAGAGGATACACACACTCTATGTATGACTATTCACTTTTCTATAAGAGGAATGGAAGTACTTCAGTATATGTTGCTGTATATGTGGATGATGTGTTACTAACTGGGACTGATCAGCAAGAGATTGCTCAACTCAAGAGTTTCTTGCATGAGCAGTTCAAGATTAAGGATCTAGGACAACTTCATTATTTCCTGGGATTGGAGATTATGTATAAGGAAGATGGGGTCATTGTATCACAAAGGAAATTTGTGCTAGATCTACTGAAGGAGTATAATTGCTTGGAACACAAGGTTTGCTCTTCACCTTTGAACACCAATGTAAAACTAAAGGCCAAGGAGGGAACAATACTACAGGATCCTTCTTATTATAGGAAGCTAGTAGGCAAACTGAATTTCCTAACTAACACTAGATTGGATATAGCATATGGTGTTCAACACTTAAGCCAGTTTATGCAGGAGCTCAGAGAGCCCCATCTGAAGGCAACATTTCATTTATTGAGATACCTAAGGAATGATCCTACCTTGGGAATTTTCATGTCAAAGGATGGGGACCATACAGTCAAAGCTTATTGTGATTCTGATTGGGCAGTTTGCCCAGACTCTAGGAGGTCCATCAGTGGTTATTTGGTCTTATTGGGCAACAGTCCTATCAGTTGGAAGTCTAAGAAACAAGAGACTATATCACTGTCTTCTGCAGAGGCAGAGCATAGAGCCTTGAGAAAGGTTGTAGGAGAGTTAGTATGGTTACGCAGGTTGTTTGAAGAACTGACTGTCCCTTTCTCTTTACCTATTTCAGTCTACTGCGATAGCCAGTCTGCATTGCATATTGCAAGGAACCCAGTATTCCACGAGAGTACCAAGCACATAGAGGTCGACTGTCACTTTGTGCGTGATCAACTACAAGCAGGCTTGATTTCTCTCCATCATATCAGAACAGATAACCAGCTCGCAGATGTTCTAACTAAGGCCTTGATAGGGATTAAACACAGTGCTACATTGGGCAAGTTGGCTGTGTTTACTATACCTCCAACTTGAGGGGGGGTGTTAAGAACTCTAATTATTTTGTACCAATTAGTTGGTTAGTTAGTTATGACAGCTGTACACAACTGTACCAATCAGCTTGGTAGTTAGTGGTTAGTCGACTTGGTTTAGTCTTAGCTTAGGTTGCACAATTGCATTGTATATATAGTGGAGGTTCCACTCACTTTTCTTCTCAATGAATTCATTTGCAATATTCTGGAATCTTCTCCCATCGTATTTTCTCTCTCTTTCTCTCTGAGTTCTCATGACATGAAGGTCACAGCTTCATCACCATTGAAGCTCAGTTTCGAGCAGCAGTAGAGCTTCAGTCACTGTTCCATTGGCTAATTCTGATAAAAGAGAAAAGTAGAGTAAGACTGTCTTCATGTCCGTGACAATCATCTTTTTCATCTTCATCTTTACATCCCAAAGCAACTGAAAGAAAAAAATAAGATAAGAAGTATAATAGGGTGTAAATTAAAGAGAATTTCTTTTTGATAAGGTAACATAATTTTATCGGATGTCGGGGAAGACACCATTTACACGTGATCGATATACCAAAAAAATGGAGATTCAAAGCAGGCCAGGGGGGTTAAGAGCATAAAGCTCAAAAGTCATATCTACAACAGTTTATATAAGGATAAACACTTCAGTTATGTTAGCCAAGAAATTGATCTCCCAACACGATCGTGAGGAGGACCCTAAGAATATACTAACAATTTGAGTAGTCTGCCTTTTTGAGGTTCTATACGTAAAATGACAGGTCAAAGTTAATTATATAGAAAAATAAAAATCACCTTTAAATATAAAGAAATATGAAATTCCGCGCTTCTTCAAGCTGAGCTATTTGCACCTGATCGCTTTGTGTGTAAAGACTTGATTTTGGGACATGCATAAATGATACATAATGTGACTATGAACACACCTTTATAAGAGTACTTCGTATCGAAATTGGACACGAACTTGTTGCTTTTTCTAACTTTGTGTGGAATTTATAGCTTTTGTAAATAATGAAAAATTTAATAAAATAGATTTTAGTTAATTTAAGGCATCAAATTTTAGGAAAAGTAATAGGACGAAGTTATAATTATGTTATATAGTTGGAATAAGGAAAATATATAAATAAGGTAAAATCTTGATTTATTTTAAAGTCCTAAATTTTAGGACTTCCTACATATTTCAAATAAGAAAAATTTAATAATCAGATTTTAGAGTCCTAAATATTTAAAAAAAAATTAAATTATAAGATTTTCCAATATGAAATAGCATTATAATTGTTAAACATTAATTTTTTCCTAATATAAATTGATAATAAAAATATTATTACGGTTAAGTAGAGGATTGTATTTGATTTTGTCCTTGATATTGTGAATATATTAATATTGAGATTATGAAATATTCTTGGTAAAAGTAAGTGTTTACCTATGAAATCTCGTCTATGAGTGAGATAATAGTTTTTGATGATAATTCAAACTTTGCACATTTATATTGTATTTAATTGTCCATGCTCTGTAATTATTATATAAGCTAAAATCATAATGGAATATAAAGTCCCAAAATATTAGGATTTCTCACATAGTTTAAATAAGAAAAGATTTAATTAGCAAAATTTTAGTTGAATTAAAATTCCTAAATATTAGGAAGATAATTAAATGACTATTTTGTCTAATGTGAACTCTATTTTTAAAGGGGCAAAAAGGCGAACGACATTTCGCTAAGTGCCTTCGTACTTTTAAGGAATTTTTACATTCCTATGCCACATAGGAAACCTTATTACCCTCAATATTTAAGGTTTGATTTAATTACACTTAGTATACCAAATTACCAATCCTATACCATACTTAATTAAGGGTCTAATTAATGGGCAGTTTTTACTCCTTAATTAAAGGTGTCCATATATTAAGAAGTAACATATGTCACGTTCCAAGTTATTTGGGAGACGTAACCTAAATATTTTTTTCTAAAATAACTTGCACCAAAATAGGGCCAACGGTTGGAGAGAATCGTGAGTAGGAAGGAAACAAATTAAAGAAGATACAATTGTATTTTGATGGTCAGTAGTATTATTGGGAGTTTCTTTTAGAGCGTAAAATGCGGACAAAAAATTATAATTCCAAGTATTTACGTGAAAAAAAAAGCTTTGGATCTTATAATCCACAAATTTTTCGTTAAGGATTATAGTCAGTATCTAAGACCCGCCCCTTTCTTCCTCATCTAAGGATTAAAGGTGTCAATATATCCCATGTTTCTCTATCCCCCTAATTCCTAAGACCCGCCCCTTTCTTCCTCTTCTCCATTCCGTTTTTCCCCTCCCCTTTCTTCCTCTTCTCCATTCCTTCTTCTTCTCAAAAAATATAGAGATGGAAATTGCAATTTTGTTACGTACGAAATAGTAGGGCCCACGCTTTCCTATTTCTTTCCGGATTCAAAATCATATTCTTATGGTTTTACGACATAGAGCTATTGCCGTTGGAGAAGAGAAGCATAAGCCCAGCCTCAGGCGTGTCAAATATTGATGTCTATCTCAAAATTCTATACAATATTTACCTTCAAATCACCCCTGAAACCAATCAATCCCCTACCCCTTCTTCTGACTTTGATTCAAAGATTCAACTTTTAAAGACTAAGCTTCACCCTGAAACCTTAAATTGATTTGTAGTTTTATTTTTGTAGAAATTTTGTAGGTGAAGAGAAAATTTTGTAGTCAACATTTTTTTTCAACATAAATTGTAGTTTAATTGTAGTATAAATATAGTAATTTTGTAGATACTCTTAAAAACAATACAGCTTTATACAATACTTAAACTTGTTTATAGTTTTTTTGAAGAAATTTTGTAGATGAAGAGAAAATTTTGTAGTTAACATTTTTTTTCAACATAGATTGTAGTTTTAATTGTAGTATAAATGTAGCAATTTTGTAGATACCCTTAAAAACAATACAGCTTTATACAATATTAAAACTGATTTGTAGTTTATTTGTAGAAATTTTGTAGATGAAGAGAAAATAGTCAACATTTTTTTTCAACATAGATCGTAGTTTAATTGTAGTATAAACGTAGTAATTTTATAGATACCCTTAAAAACAATACTGCTTTATACATACTTAAACTGATTTGTAGTTTATTTGTAGATAAATATAGGAATTTTGTAGATATTAACATAAAATCAGACTTTCATAGAATTTGTAACATAACAATTTTAATCAGCTCCCCCTAATTCCTAAGACCAGTGCCGTTTTCCCCCTCCCTTTTCTTCCTCTTCTCCATTCCTTCTTCTTCTCAAAAAATACAGAGATGAGACCCATTTTTTATAATCAGATTTTTCCCATTCAATTGTAGCATGATTGGGATTTTGAACATGATTGAGTGTTGTTGCTGAGGTATTGTTCTATATTTTATTGTTTTTTTGATTTGTGGATTGAGAAAAAAGAAAGATGAAGAACAGAGTATCGGCAGTATTGGTTTCTACAATTTGACTTGATTTTGTTGAATAACTGGTCGCCTTTTTGATGTCTGGATTGAGGAAGAAATTGATTTCTACAATTTGATTTCAGTTTGTTGAAGCTTTTCGTCTTTTTTTTTTTTGAATTACGAAAAAAATTCGGGAGAGATCTAATAAAGGATTTGCGTTCAAATTTGAACCGAAGGTCGCTAAATCAATTAGGATATTCTTTTCCTGATTTTTAGCGCGCCATATTAGGAAGATTCAGCTACTATTAGTTACTAATTAATGAATGGTATAAAAATTATAGAAAAACATTGCACAGGGCAGGTAATTTACAAAATATGCACATTTTTGGTAATAAGGTTTCATATATGGTATAGGAAGGAAAAAATTCAAACTTTTAATATAGACAAAATTAAAGAATAATGCACTCTGTAAGTTGACCTTGCACTATTTTAGCCCAGTTACAAGTTTGCAAATATGTAGCCAAATATCAATAAGATCTTTTCTTTTCCCATTCTCTCTAATTATAACAACTTCATTTATTTTCCGTCACCTACCTATCCCTATTGTAGCTCTCTCCTCATTTTTTCACCCATAAATATTTAATTTTATTAATAAAAAAGAATCGTATGAAAACAAAAATTAGTTCCCTATTTTTATGTAACCATTGATCGAGACACTCAGTCAACACTCATTCGTGTCTTCTTCCATAACCAATACTTCTCCGATTTTTTTCTTTTTTTGATTTTGTATATCTTCAGGTTTATACATACCTATCACAACTACAAAACACAAAAACAAACGCAAGAAACCTAAAATCTTATCTCCTTTAATGCTATTCTTGTTAATGAGTGGGTATTGTTTGAACTTATTACAAATAGTCTAAGTAGGTTGTATACAAAGTTTGAAGTTATTTGCTGGAGATTTGGACTAGTTTTATACAAGAATTGCAAGTGAAAATCGTACAAATTTCGTTAGAGATGCTTATACGCTTTTATACAATGTTATACACTTTTATACAAAGAGGTACATTATGTATATAGTTGTATAAAAATGTATAAAGATGTATAATCAGAGAGTGAAAATATTCTTGTTACACTATGTATATAGGTGTACAAGAAGAAGAAGAAGAAGAAGAAGAAGAAGAAGAAGAAGAAGAAGAAGAAGAAGCGAGAAATTCACCAAATACCTGTAAATAATGTATCAACTGTGTATACAATAATGTATAAGAGGTGTTTATACACTATTATACATTATTATACAAATGAATCCTATCAATGGAGCTTCACGTGTTCTTCTTCTTCCTTGGGCATCCTCTGAAATTTAACTCAAATATAGCCTAAATCTACTCCAAAATCACTTGAAATTTAAGTGTTGAACTCATCTTGATGATTCCAATCAATTGGGACAACACCCATTCCAAACAACTAACAAATCGGAAAACTCAATTTCTGAAATTGAATCTTTGAACCACCTTTAATGGTGACTTATTTTTCAAATCCTTAGTTAACCATTGGAATCTGGAAAAAAATTGAAGGAGAATAACAATAGTAGAGAAATTTTGGGGTGCGAAGGCTAATACGAGAAGAAGAAGAAGAAAAAGAACGAAGAAAAAAAGGGTGGGCTAACTGGTGAAAAGTTATTTTCAGGTTATGTACAACCTGGGCTACACTGGGTAAGGGCTTCAAACGTGGACGATTTTCTGATGGGTTGTTGGGCCAAGTGATAAGGGATATAATTCTCCCTTTAATATAGTATAGATATAGATATAGATAGATAAGTTATAGTCAAATTCAAAAATTAAACAACGGAGTATAAATAATTAGTAATTTTTCGCATCATTATA